CKRTSSSTCSCCGRCRGSYGCGAASWCSRAAGTCRATCTRSTKMRCTTRKTCSTTCAKCSCTGACSCCATCCWSCACCTCRCTRCCCRCRGCGCCGCCCRCCRCSCCCTCCCTCCCCTCCCCCACCTCACCTCCCAAGTCTACTCCCTCCTCGCCTTCCTCCTCACCCCTCCCCCTTCCTCCTCCTCCGCCTCCGCCCCCGCCCCCGCCCCCGCCGTCCTCTCCAACCTCCCCACCATCCTCGACTCTCTGCTCGCCTCTCCCCCCGCTACAAGCGAGCTCCCAACCTACCTCTCCGCCATAACCTCCGCCCTCATCAAAACCTCCCTCCAAGACCCCGCCCTGCTCCCCACCTACCTCCCCAAAGCGCATCAGCTCTTCTTCAAAGACATTCTCCTCGCCCCCAACGCCCCCCCAGCCGTCCTCGCCGCCGCTGCGGCTTCCCTGGGCGCGGAGGGGATGTTGAGGTATTGTATAACGGACGAGATGATCTTGGCGACTTTGACTTATATGAGGCAGGGCTCGCATATGCCCGGGGCGAGGAAGAAGAGCAAGACGCCGTTCTTGTTTAAATTCTACGAATCTCTCGTGGAAGCTATGAACACCAACGCTCTCCGTCTGCCCTATTTCCTCACAATCCTCACAGCCCTCATCTCCCGCCTCCGGCTGCGTGTCGTGCCGGGTTCCATCCCAGCTATCGCCGACCCTTCTGGTACCGGCCCCGCTGCGGCACAAGAGCTGGTAATGGACTTGTTGAAGGAAGTTGGAGATCTGCGGACCGAGCGAGGGTTTGAGAGCAAGGACAAGGTGGATGAGGTTGTTGGTGTTGCGATGGACGTTATCGGCGTCGAAGCCGTCTTGAAAGTCTTGCCCCTCAACATCGAGCCCGACGCGTATGTCCCCCTCTTACCCCTTCGAATATCAGCTGACATACAAACCAGATCCGGCGTCCCCCCGCAACCCGGCCGCGCCCACCTCCTCCCGCTCATCCGCCAGCACACCACAAACGACTCCCTCCTCTTCTTCTCCACCTTCTTCCGCCCCCTCTCCGAACGCCTCTTCAACCGCAAAGTCGCCGCCTCCGACGCCCGCCGCGAGGGCGAGGCCAAAGTGTGGGAAGTGGTCGTCTCGCAGATCTGGGACTGCTTCCCGGGGTTCTGCGAGATGCCGAGGGATATGGGGAAGGGGCTGGATGTGCAGTTTTTGGGGCTTGTCACGGGGTTGCTTTATACCCAGCCCACGCTTTTGCCGGCGCTCTTGAAGGGGCTGACCAACCTCGTCACTTCTACCGAGCGTCTTATCGGGTCTACCACCGCCCCTGAGGAGTTGCGAAAGGAATTCGGCCTCGACCAAACTATCGCCCAATCCAACCTCACCCTCCTCAAATCCCTCGCCAAAGACATGATCTCCGTCCTCCTCAACGTCTTTTCCAAGATGCCCCGCGAATCGCGGGGTCAAGTCGGAGACGTCATCGCCACCTGGGTCGGCATCATGACCCCGCAGGACGTGGTGGAGACGTACACAACCGTCACTACCCACTTGTCCAATAATCTCGACGATTCGAGTGTGCCGGCGGAGGGGGCGAGCCCGGTGGCGCATACGATGTTGGATCTGCTCATCATCTTTACCCCGACCTTGCCTCTGGCGCAATCGCTCGCGCTCTTCACTGCGGTGTCCCAGCCGGCAATGCTCCAGCACCGCGACGCCACCGTCCAAAAGAAATCTTACCGTCTCCTCAAACGCCTCTTGGAGAACGGCAAGCTCGACCTTCAGCGCTCCAAGCTCGAAGCCTTCGTCACCAAACTCGGCGAAAGCGGCTCGTCCGTCGGCCCCGGCGCGCAGAGAGACAGACTCCAACTCCTCTCGGCGCTCGTCACCGCCCTCCCCAAAGACTCGCTCCACATCATCCCCGAGATCCTCTCTGAAGCCGTCCTCGGCACCAAGGAAGTCAATGAAAAAGCGAGGGATGCCGGGTTCGAGCTGTTGGTGCTTATGGGGCACAAGATGGCGGAGGGGGGTGTTATTGAACGTGGGGAGCAGCAGGTGGGGGATGATGAAGATATGGGTGGTGTGCAACGTATGTCATCAATCTTGATGAAAGGGGGCCAAGCTGATATGATGATGCAGTCGCGGGCACAGTCGACGCCAGTGCCGAAGAGTACCTCACAATGGTAGCCGCCGGTCTCACCGGTACCACCCCACACACCATCTCCGCCTCTATCAACGCCCTCTCCCGTCTCCTCTTCGAATTCCGCACCTCCATCTCCGCCGAGACCACCTCCGAGCTCCTGTCCACCCTCTGCGTCTTCCTCGCGAGCAAGAACCGCGAGATCGTCAAGAGTGCGCTTGGGTTTGCAAAAGTGGCGATCGTGTCCCTCCCTGTGGACGCCTTGAGACCCCATCTAGCGCAGATGGTACCCGCCCTCCTAGGCTGGGTGCACGACCACAAAAACCACTTCAAATCCAAAACCATCCACATATTCGAACGTCTCCTCCGCCGATTCGGGTTTGACGAAGTCTACGCCGCGGCGGGTGCTACGAGGGTGGAGGAGAAGAAGGTGTTGATGGGGATCAAGAAGAGGAAGGATAGGGCCAAGAGGAAGAGGGCTGGGAAGGACGGGGAGGAGGAAGAGGAGGGGGAGAAGCCAAAGGCGACGAGTGGGAATGCGTTTGACGATATTCTTTACAACTCTGATTCCGACATTGACTCGGATGACGATGAGGAGAAGGATGCTGGCAGACCCCAGAAGGGCCAGAAGGGCAAGAAGGGCCAGCAGCAGCAGGCGCAGCAGCAGGGGAAGAAGGGGAAGAAGACGGATGGGGATTTGTATATCCGGAACGACGAGGATGAGCCTATGGACTTGTTGTCGAGGAGTATCGCTGGGGGTGTCACTAGTAAGTCTTCTTCTTCTCCTTCGCGTTGGGTAAGTTGGGTAAGGGAAAGGTGCTGATATGGTGGTAGCTTCAAACCCCGCGAAAGAATCTCGTCGCCGAAAGCCCGGAGAAGACGCTTCCAAATTCCAAACCGACAAATCCGGTAAACTCATCATCCCCGCCGACGGCCCCGACGACGACGAACGACCCTCCGCTTCCGCCTCCGCGTCCGCAGACGCTACAGCCTACCTCCCCAACAACACCGCCGACGGTACCCACCGCGACACCCGGGGCAACCTCAAGTTTAACCGCAACACCAAGCGCGCGAGGGAGGAGGAGAAGCAGATGTTTGAAGTGTTTGATGAGGAGGATAGGATCAAGGCGAAGGTGAAGGAGAGGAAGAAGATGAGGAAGACGTTGGGTGAAGAGTTTAAGGCCAAGGTGAGTCTCCTCTTCCGCTTTTTGGTAGGGAAGGGGTGCTGATAGGTGTGTAGCGCGCTGGAGGTGATATCAAGCGAAACGACGGACCGGACCCGTACTCTTACGTTCCTCTAGGCCAAGCGTCTGGGAAGAAGGGGGGCAAGTCGTCGGTCAACTTGACCAACAAGAAGAAGGGTTCGAGGCGTTAAGTCGGTCGCGGAGGGGACTCATGGAGGTCTTGAGAGTAGGTGGCTGGCGGAGGGAGCTTTTGGTTTTTGTGTTCTTGCATCGTTTCTCGCTTTAGATAATCTCATGATGGTTCTTTCTCTTTTCTATATGATGTGTATGCACTTTCGAGTTATATACTACTGAAAGCAACACTTGATCACCATTGTGCGCTCTTATGATCAAAAAGATACACGCGTCGTTGAATACGAGTCGAGGAGGCCACGTAAGTAAGGGCAGTCAGGATAGTTCGAAGCATTCTCATTTGCAGCCTAAATTCGTAATCCACTCCTTCGCCCCTCGTGAACTCGTCGTCATTGCAACGGGAAGAGAGCAACGTTCCATCTTCCCGCACCTCTATCTATCGCAACACTGTCCGCCTTCCTACAAATCATCTCTCTACGTCTTTTCAGGTTTTCCACAATGAACCATACTCTCATGGCAATCTTTTTCGTCTTAGCCTTGAGCACCTCTTGTCAGGCCTTCAAGATCATCTCCCCTGCCTATGAAATGGGTTGGGCGTCGAGAGGCAGACACTTGATCCATTGGGAGGTATGTCGAGACCGTCTTCTTCGTCATCACGTCTTTCTGGTGTACTCATCTACATGACGTGAACAGGGCTACTCTTCCAGTCAGACAATTGACATGTCCCTTACCTACCCCGATTCCACCACCCAAAACATCTTCAGCCGCGTTCCCGCCGACCAAGGCGTTGCAGTCTATACTTCTCCCAACCGCCTTCCCCCCGGAAACTACAGCATCTTCTTCAGCGTCTTTTCAGATGGAGAAGTCAATATGATTTCTTCAGAGTTTTCGGTATGGAATGACACAGAGCCGGTGTTGGATGATAATGTGATGTGGATTATTTCTCGGGTGAGCGGGAAGAAGTCTGGTGGATGGCATTGGCCTTGGGAGAGCTCTGCTGTGAGTACATTAAGCTAAGAAGAATTAGAATACTTATACATTCTCGACAGGCTTCAGTCAGCAAGCATATGGCCATCCCACTTGTAGTCTCCTGTGCGGGACTAGCGTTAGGTCGGCTTGCCATCCTGTAAAGGCCGCACGAGAAGACAGAGGATTGGAATGACCTCATACAAGGAGTCAGAAAACCTATACACGGATCTAGAGAGCTCTCTACACAGGAGAAGATGCCTCAGTACACGATGCATGCCGTGTTGAATGATGCAAGAGAAGATGGTATGATTACGTACGCACGGGAACAAATCTCCACCTCCATCCTCGCGCCTGCCGAGATCGTCAGTCTCCTCATTGCAGTCTCCTTTTGTCCATACATCTCCCTCCAGAGGCTGCGTTTCTGGGTTCCTATTCTTCTGCTACAAAATGGCAGATCCACAACCCGAACGCCTTCAACCACCCCCCCAACACTCCCAGCAACCCGACCAGCCCCAATCCGACATTGTTTCGCTCCCGGAGGACATTCGCAACCAGGTCGAAAAGGAACAAGCCCTTGTCGATGCTCAGAGAAGGGTGAAGGAGCTCGAGGGAGAGGCGGGGAAGCTTAGAGAACGGATATCTGCGTTAGAGGGGGAGAGGGATGGAGCGGGTAAGTTGAGATGCGTGAAATCAATCCGGGTCTTATTGACCGCTTCCCAGTTTCTGTCACAAACCAACTGCAGACCCAGCTTTCATCCTTGCAATCGAGCCATCACAAGGCAACGTCGGCGTTATCAGTGATACAAACTAGGCTTGACTCTATAGAGCGAGAGAAGAGAGAGTTGTACGAGGAGACGGAGAGACTACAGCAGAGGGGAACTCGGAATACTCGTGAGTTTGTCTCGCGCCCTGTTTAATCACGTGGCTGACCATTGTGGATGCAGAGGAACTGTACGCTCTGAGATCGGCAAAGACAGATGCTGCGCAAAAGATTGCCCACTTGGATGTTGAGGTGTCGGAATTACGGATGACCACCGAGAGCGCCAAGGTGAGTGCATGGCGGGCTATACTGAATTTCGAGCTAAACATTGTCCCAGTTCAATGAGAAGCGAAGCACACAAGCTCTGGAAAGTGCCCGAGCCGAGATCATCACCCTGACGAAGGCTGTCTCGGAGGTTGAGGAGCGATTTGGTCGATACAGGGCTGAAGCCGTAAGTAAACGCGTGTATAACACCGTCTTTCTAACACTTGCGTAGCAATCCGAGCAAAGCAAATACCGCTCAGAGAACGAAACCCTCCTCACGCGACTCAACACTCTCGAACAATCCTACTCTTCCCTCCAACGAACCTACAACGACCAATCCTCCCGCCTTGCCGAGTCTCATGCCAATATCGCCACCTTGACCTCATCAGCCGCAGCAAACAAAGCTGCCGTCGCTGTTGACATGCTCCAGCTGGACGAGGCGAACAAGATTCTCGAAAAGCGAGGCGAGGAAGCTCGGGCTACGATCTTGGAGAGGGAGGCAGAGCTGGAGAGGATGGCTGAAGTTTCCGAGGAGCGAGAGACCTATTGGGAAGCGCGCGTCAAGAAGGAAGAGAGGCTCAGAAAAGAGGCCGACAAAAGGACACAGGAGCTGAAGAACGTGGCGGACAGGCTGGATATGGCCGAGGGCCGGGCGGGCTACGTCTCGGCATCTGCTGCCGTCGCTAGCGAATTGAGGAAGGATGGGAAGAGCTATACGCAACTGTACACCGACTTTACCATTCAGGAGAGTCGGTTGCAGTCTGCCGAGGCCGAGGTTGAAAGGTTGACGAATCTGCTGGATGAGATTAGCCAGGAGCTGAGCGAGAAGGTGCGTTATTTCAATGTCCCCACGGATACCCCCTGATGCGTTGTAGAAACCACTCCTTGACGAACAAGCTGCGGAACACGATCGTGCCATCGAGCGCGCCAATGCCCTTGCTTCCGAACTTTCCTCCGTCATCTCCTCCCGCGACACTCTCCAGGCCGAGATCAAATCTGCCAAAGCAGCCTCCTCGCATCACTCCTCCGAAGTATCCTCCTTCCGATCCACAATCGACGACCTTGCTCGCCAAGTCAAGTCCCTTCTTCGACAACTTGCTATCAAGGACGACCCCTCCCTCGCCAATGTTCCAGTCGACGGCGACGCCGAGGTCGGGCCTACCGGGGACATTGTCACCGACCACCTCGTCGAATTCAAGTCAATCCGTTCCCTTCAAGAGCAAAACCAACGTCTTCTTTCCATTACTCGCAGTCTCATGGCGAAGCTGGATGAGAAGGAGATCGGGCGGGCTGCTGGCGACGAGGAAGACGACGAGGCTGGATCCACTTTGGACCAAGCTACCGACATGATCAAGCGTCTCCACAAAGACCTCACCGAGGGTCAAAAGAAGATCACCGACCTGACCCGCGAGCGCGACTTTTTCTCCAAGCTCCTTGCCAAGGGCGAGGGTCTCAAGTGGTCTACCTCCCAAGTCACGTCCGGCGGTCCTCTTGGCGATGATAGTCCTCATCAACAGACTATCGACAGTTTGCAGACAGAGATTGATCTTATCAAGGCGAAGGCGCAAGGGGAGGTGGATGATGTGCGGAAGGAGATCAAGAAGAGGACTGAAGAGGCGGCCAAGGCGGATGTGGAGAAGGCGAGAGCGGAAGCCAAGGTTGGATTGTTAGAAGGTGTGTTCGCTGGACTGTCTACTGAGCGCCGGCTGACTGTCGTGTAGAACAAACACGACTTTTGAACGAGCAAAACTCCTTGGCAAAGAACCAATACATCGGTCTGGAAAGCCAGGTTCGGCAATTGCAAAGCGCCGTGGCTCAGGCGCACAACGAACAACGCTCTGTACGTTCTACCATCTCCATGAAGAGTACTACTGACGATCGGAAAGGCTCTCGAGCAAGTCGCTGCCCGTCAAGCGGAAGCCGACAGGTTGAGAAACGAGGCCGCTATGCTTCGCGCCGAGAAGGAGCAGTGGAAGGTACGCCCCCTTCCGCCTCTTATTTACTTAGCAACGCTAATAGATCTACAGAGCGTCGAAAGCAGGCTCCATTCCGACTTCTCTCAAGTCCAATCCGAGCGCGTCAAGCTTCAGCAACTTATTGACAACCTCAAGAACGTTGCCAGCGAGGGCGACAAGAGCCGAGCCGAGGAGAGGCAGGCTTTGGAGAAGCGAATCGAAGAACTTCAACGCGAAGCGTGAGTGTACAACATTACCGTACGAGTATGAACTAAATATTCCCTAGTACTGCCCTTCGCCAGCAGGTCGAACAAGCTCGCGCCGCCACGCGAGACGCCGAGGCCAAGGTCAGCGACTTTGAATCCCGTCTCGCCGCAGCCACCACCTCCGTCCGAACCGAGAAAGAAGCTGCCGACGCCCTCGCCGCTACCCGAGCCACCGAAATCGCCACCATCAAGGCCGACCTCGAAAAGGCCCAAACCGAATCGGAAAGCCGCCTGAGAATCGGTCTCAACTGGAAGCGCCGAGCAGACAACCTCACGGAGCAGATCGCTCAGAACACGAAGAGTCAGGGAGAGGCGGCGCAGGAGAATGAGAAGAAGGCGCAAGAGGCGGAGAAGCGGGTGAAGGAGCTTGAAGGGGAGGTGGATGGATTGAAGAAGAAGGTGGAAGAGGTGGAGAGAGCGGCGTCATTGAAGGAGGGCACGATTCAAAGACTGCAGTCGGAGTTGACGTCGTCCAAGGCTGATCAAGGAAAGGCTGACCAAGGAGAAAGTGAAGTCAAGGCACAGTTGGTGAGTCAATACACTCCTGACCTGGTCCCTCGCTGACGGGCTATCTTAGACTACTCTTCAAAAAGATAAGAAGGAGCTTGCCGAGAAACTTTCGCAGGCTGAGAAGGATCTGGAGGCGGCAAAGGCTGCTGCTTCTACCGCTCCTTCTACCAGCGAAGGTGCTCCCACCGACGCCGAGAAAGCCGAGCTACTCGCAAAGATCGAAGAGTTGACAAAGCACAAGCAGGATCACGACGAGGTGAGTTCCCGAGATTGTTTTGTTTGCTTAACACTGACATGGCCTCAGAAATACGAAAGCAACGTTACTCGAGTGAACCGGGTCAATGCCCAGATGAAGGGCCGCATCGACACCCTTCTATCCGAGAAGGCTACAGCCCTCACCGACGTTGAGACTCTTACCGCCAAGATCTCAAAGCTTGAAAGCAAGGTCAAGGAGGTGGAGGCGTCAGTGTCTACGGCCGCCGCCCCCACCGCCGAAGCTCCCGCTCAACCAACTGGCGAGGTCGAAACCAAGCCCTCGCAAGAACAGATCGACGAGGCCGTCAAGGCTGCTGTCGCCGCTCGAGAAGCCGAGCTTACTGCCAAGTTCACTCGTGACATCGAAGAGGCCACCACCTCGGCTGCTACTGCTGCTGCTTCCGCCGCTGCTCTCATTCAACCCCCTCCCGCCCCCGAATCCTCCACTGCTACCGCCCTCGATGCCGAAGCTCTCGCCAAGAAAACGGCCGAACTCGAGTTTGCGTTCGATGCCAGAGTGGCCGAGGCTGTGCAGAAGGAGAAGTCTGCCTTGGAGGAGGAAGTCAAGTCGTTAAGAGGCCAAGTGGAAGAGCTGAAGACCAAGATCAAGGCGCTCGAGAGGCAAGTGAAGACGGCGGAGATCTCGAGAAAGACATTGGAGAGACAGAAAGCCGAGGCGGAAAAGAAACTCGCAGAGGCTTTGGAGAAGAAGGGCGAAGCGCCGGCTGCTGCAAGTGCACTTGCTACGGCCCCAGCGCCCGCGTCTACACCTGTGGAAGATGCGAAGCCGGTGAAGGCGGAGGGTACGCCCACTGGTACGCCAGCGGCGAGAGGGGGCATTGTTAGAGGCAAGCCGCGGGCAGTACGAGGTGGAGCTCCCGGAAGGCCGAATTCTGTCTTGAGCGGTAAGTCTTTGCTTCTGCATATTGTGTGATTACTAAAATTCCTTTGCAGCTGTCAACGCGACTCTTTCAGGAGCTACCCCCGCTTCCACTCCCGAATCCAGCGGCACAAAACGACCAGCGCCGGAAGAAGGCGAATCACCAACAAGCTCGGCTGCTCCTCCATCAGCCCCGTCAGAAAGAGGTGGTCGAGTGCTGAAGAGGCCTAGAGGAGGAGCAGCGCCAAGAGGAGGTGCCGGCGGGAGAGGCGGACGAGGCGGCGGTGCTGCCGGAGGAGGTACGGGGGGCGCTGGTACGAATTAGTGGACAGTCGGCTTGCTTTTGCATAATGTACTTGTGTGTGAGAAGGATAATATAAACCTGATATGAATACTACGTCCCGGATCGATCCTTGAATGCCACCTTATGCCTTGTATACGATGTTAAGGCCAGGATGCACGGCAAGGCTAGAGTTGAATGAGCAAATTAAATGCGACCCCATTTTGAACTTGCGCGCGTGTTTATGACGCGGAACGGCGATGCACTTTCTATTTGTTCTGCGACTGTCCGCTCACCTAGAACGTCAAGAAATGCCTGCCCCACCCAACGAATCCCTTCCGACAGAACCACAGCCTGGCGTGGACGAAGTCCTTGACAAGTTTCAGCAACTCGGACGAGAAGCCGAAGAAGACGCTAGCGACAACGAAGATGGCGAAGACGGCGCCGGCGACAACGAGGACGAAGGTGCCACAGGGGAGGCTGGGGACGGAGAGAAAAAGAAGAAGAAGAAGTCCAAGAAGAAGAAGTCCAAAGCTAGGCAGGCTGTGCAAGGTTTGAGGTGAGTCACTCGGCTGTCTGGTTGAAAGTCGTTATTGATCCATGTCATAGAACAATCGCTACCGGAAATGCGCCGCAGGAAATAGTCGAAGCTGTGCGAGGAAACATGGATGCTGGAGAAGGTCAAGCAGCGACAGATGGTTCGTGAAGGATCGCAAGACTAGCTTGGCTCCAACTGACATGAGTCGCAGAGGAGATTCGACGGGCGCTGAAAGCCGCGGACTTAATGAAGATCCTGGAGGGCAAAATGGCTTTGGGAAACAAGTCTGGTACCAAGAACCTCGGCGAACATAAGGTGTGTCAACGTCCATACTAAACACAGTAATGCTTACCGAGAGAGCAGTTCTGGAAGACTCAACCCGTCCCTCAATTGTCCGGTGACGGTGGCAGTATCGCTCCCCTCGAGGAAGGTCCTATCGACGACCCCAAGACGCCTGCCGAAGTCAAGCAAGAGCCTGGAAGCCTTCCTTCTGGATTTGTGTGGAGTACTGTTGATGTCAAGGACGAGGAGCAGGTATGTGCCCACTCCATGATATATTTCGTCCGTGCTTATGTGCTTGCAGTGTAAAGAAGTCTATGTGTTGCTTTCCGAGAACTATGTGGAGGACGACGATGCCATGTTCAGATTCAACTATTCCAAAGAGTTCTTGCTTTGGTGAGTACCATGCGCCTTTTTGCTTTCCGCAGCTGCTGACCATTGACATAGGGCGCTTACCGCTCCGGGGTACGTTCCCGACTGGCATATCGGTGTTCGAGTGCAAAAGACGGGCAAGCTGGTTGCGTTCATCTCTGGTATCAAGGTAGATATCAGGGTGCGAAGCAAGTAAGTCAAATGGTGCTATAGTTGATGGCAAGCCTAACTCGTCTATCAGGACGTTCCCGTCGGCCGAGATCAACTTCCTCTGTGTTCACAAAAAGCTCCGCTCGAAACGATTGGCGCCTGTATTGATCAAGGAGGTCACCAGACGAGTCAACCTGACGGATATCTGGCAAGCCATCTACACCGCAGGCGTCGTTCTCCCCACCCCCATCGGCACTTCTAGGTAAGTCTCGTCATATCCAATTTCAACGCCGACTGACGTTGCTTTCAGATACTTCCACCGAAACCTCAACCCTCCCAAGCTCGTCGACATCGGCTTCTCCCCTCTTCCCCGCGGTACCACCATCGCCCGACTCGTCCAACAATACAGCGTCCCCGCCCACCCCCGTCTCCCCGGTTTCAGAGAGATGACCAAAGCCGACGTGCCGCAAGTAGGCGAGCTGCTGAGAAAGTATTTGGATCGATTTGCGATTGCCCAGGTGTTTAGCAGTGATGAGGAGGTTGAGCATTGGTTCTGTAGTGGACAGGGGAAGGACATTGATGGCAGGCGAGAAGGACAGGTGGTCTGGGCATATGTCGTTGAGGTGAGTACCACAGATATGTGATTTTCGGTCAAGCTGACGTCTCTTTCAGGACCCCACCACACATCTCATCACCGACTTTGTCTCTTTCTACTCCCTCCCTTCATCCATCATGAAGAATCCCAAACACAATCTCCTCAATGCCGCCTACATGTTCTACTACGCCTCCGATGCCGTTTTCTCCGCTGGTGGAAGCTCGGATGATGCTGCGGCGCATGATAGGAAGGCCAAGAGGCATTTGGAGGAGAGGTTGAATGCGTTGGTTAACGATATAATGATCATGGCAAAGCAGGTGAGTACTTTCACACATACCCGTGACGTGTACTGATATCCAATTAGGCCGGTTTCGACGTCCTCAACGCTCTTACGCTCCTCGACAACAACTTATTCCTGACAGAACAAAAGGTAAGACCTGCTTCACTCCCCATATCTCTCCTTACTAACATCAGTTACAGTTCGGTCCCGGCGACGGTTTCCTGAACTGTAAGTCTCCTCCATTTCACCCAAATGGTCATCCGAGCTAATATGGCATTGCAGTCTACCTTTATAATTGGAACTGCGCACCTACCGATGGTGGACAGAGCGGCTATTCCAGAAAGGAGAGCTCGCAGGTCGGTGTTGTTATGCTCTAGATCCGTATGTCCGACATCATATGCATAATACCATAGAGTAGACGACAGAAAGGAACACGCGCCAAAAGCTTTCTGGCGGCTCGGTCCGACGACACGGCGGGAAAGTATGACCATATCACATTTCAATCGCATAAGTGGTATGTTCTACAGGTCACTCGCCATGAGGGGTATCGAAATAAGTCACCGGTCTTCTTCTATTCTGTGTTTCTGCTGCTTAGCTCTCCCAGTCCAACTCGACGGGCAAACCGGTGAACAGATCGCCGTATCTCTTTGTAGACATCGCTGTCCCTCCACCGTATCGCACATCGTGAATCCATGACGCCGTTCGCGCCCACTTGGATCCCTCACTCTTGTCCTACCCATATGTCAGCTGTAGGCGTTTGGTGGGTATGTATAGGATATACTTTGCGTCCTTCAATAACACCCAAAAGCAGCAAAGCCCAAATGACCTCCTCTGCCATACTTTGAATTTCGTAAACCTTTCTCCCGAGCTGTCGTTCTTGTGCCAATGTTGTGAATGATGCGCCGGCGAGTTCGAGGAATTGGAAAGAGCCTGCACGTCCAATGTAGACGTTGCCAAACCCTCGTCTCTAGCCTTCAACTCCTTTCTCGAGATGAAATAGCTTCTCCCCATCCCGTCGTAGATCATCGCCAGCTGCCCCTTAGTCCCCTTCCGTCTTTTCGGTGCGCAGGTATTTTCCACCGACTGTGCCATCGTCTTCAACATCTCCGCTGTGCTCTTGTGAAGCAGCTCCCTCGGCCCATCACTGCTACCTTCGCCCTCATAGATGTTGACCGTAAAGATCAGCCGAAGAGCGGGATCCATGCTTTCGACCCTTCGTTCTGGATCGTCGCCGGGGCTACTGTCGGCTTTGCAGAGGATACAGGCGCAACTGACATCCCAGTTGATCAGACTCTGGCGTCGAAGATCAAGAGAAGAGAGGCCGTTTCTGTATGTATGACATGAGAAGCTCTTCGCCGCTGGAGATGTGCTTACTGGCACGGGCAACCATGATCTGCACATACATCAGCCTTGTACCCACAGCCGACGATGTTCGAAAAACATACGTCGCCATACCAGCACTAGCTCACTGTCAATGAAACGAGTGGTTGAACATTGAGGGCAACCCGTGTAGGAACCTGCCAGATTCCTTCTTTTCTCCAAGTGATGTGTTTAGAGTCATGACATGCATATAACAAGCCTCAGCCTCTCCGCACCAAAAGTATACAATTAATACGGGATTAAGATCTCCTTCCACCTTCCTCCACCCTTCCACCCTTCCACCTTCCTCCACCCTTCCACCCTTCCACCTTCCACCACCGCTCTATCATCGCGCTCCCTAATCTCGATGTTCGAAAGACTGTAATCGAAAAAGCTACCATGCTCTCCATCCATGCCACAAGTCCATGCAAAACAACCCATGCTTCTCATGACACCCGTCTCCCTCTTCTACCACATTTTCCTCACCCACGCTCTCTTCCAAGCACAACAAAAACCCCATCTAAACCTAAACCTTGGCACCAAGACTCTTTCGACTCTGTCTTCCTCTCTCCCTCGTCCTCCTCGCCGCACGCACAAACGCTTGAACAGCATACTTTATCTTTTGCGGAGAACGCTCTTCAATCGCTCTGTAGCACCCTCATCAGCTCCAAACGTTTGATCAAATGTCAAATGTCAAACGGAAAAAAGCAAAAACTTACTCCGAAATCTGAGCCACAAACGCCTGCTTATCCACCGCCGGCACAAGATGCCCCCCAACCTCCCCCACCCCCTCCCCTATCCACCCAACCACCGCCCCCCCCGGCAACCCCACCCCAAGCCCCACAAGGATCTCTTCCACCTGCTCCACCGCATCCTCCGGGAACTCGCCCACCAAACCCTTCACCACCAGCCCCACCACCACCCGCCCATACTGCGCGAAGAGCGGTTCCAGCACAGGCGCTGTGACGGTCGGGTCGGGGGAGGATGCGGGGGAGAGGAGGTTGGTGAGGAGGGTGAGGACGTCGAGGGAGACGAGGGTGATTATCGTGGAGGGGCAGGTGAGTGCTTGGAGGGTGTGGGAGAAGGCGAGGGGCAGCGCGGGGTTGGGAATGATGAGTGTTGGGAGACGGGACAAGTAGGCGTAAAGAAGGTGGACATAGTCGTCCATCACTGCAAAGCCATCAGCCCTCCTCTCCATTGAAAAAGGTGGGAAGAAAGGGGAACGTACCGTCAGGGATCTCAACAGCCACCTTCCTCTGCAACAACTCCCCCAACCCCCTCGTCACACTCTCAAAACTCCTCATCAACAGCCCCGCCAACTGCCCCCCTCCAGGCCCACTCGCAGCCTCCCCAAACTTGTCCGCCACCTTGCCCGTAATCCAGAGATACGAAGCGTACCCCGTCTCGGCGAAACACGTCGCCAGCCTTTCCAGTAGCAGCGGCACGACGGGTTCCAGCGCGGGGAGAGGGAAGAATGCAAGCCCCCGCCGGAGGAGCGAGCCGACCTTCTCAGAGATGTGGTACACCTTGCTGTACCTCGCCAACAGCCCATCCAGAATCCCATACACCGCCGCACAAGTCGGGTAACAGCTCTCCGGCACAGGGTTCAGCGTCTTGACCACCGACAGATAAGCGTCCATCTGCTCCAATGCGTCCGCCACCTTTTCCAGCTCTTGCTCCGACGCCGGCGTATCCGAAGAGGCGAAAGGCTGGATAAACTGGATAAGCGGCTCGCAAAACTGCTGTAAAGCCTGCGCCCCATCATCCGCCGGCATCCCCTCAATCACATACCCTATAGCCTCACACACATCCAACATATCCGACTGATCCAGCCTATCCCCCACACTCGTTACAAACCCATGCAACTGCCCCAAAAACGGCACAAGATGGCCCGTGCAGTCCTGGCAGATAAACTTCATCGCGTGCGCCGCGGCGGCCGAGACTTGCTCGTCTGCGAGCTCGAACCCAGCAGAGACATAGCCGAGCTGGAAGGAGAGGTTGTCCGGGTGCCGGTTGAGCCATTGGGAGTAGCGGGAGATGACGAGGATGGCGGCGTATCGGATTTTGGGATGTTCGGGCAGTTTCGGTAAGAGGGCCATGATATGTGGGAGGACTTCGTCGTCGTTCGGATCCACGCTCGCGCCCATGGACCGCATGGAGAAGAGAGGCGCTTCGATCTCTTGCCAGGAAGGGGAAGGCTGGGACATGGCAGAGACGATGAGGTCGTACGACTTTTTCAGACATGTAGGGGCGCCGAGAACGGCACAGCAGTCTTTGAGGGTATCGCCCATCCTATGACGGAACGTCCTAAACTCGTCCTTCTCTTGCGCCGTCTGCTCTTCATCGTCAGCAGGGAAATGGAGGTGACGGATGATGATTGTCTGGAGCGAAGCAAAGATGTCGAGGATCGGCGCCAACGCCGGATTCTGTCGGAACTCTGGCCCCTGTCGCTCGAGCGCTTCGGCGAGGTTGTACCAGAAGAAGAATGTGATTGGCACAATCTCCAAATCCGGGTACGCCGCGCACTCTGCAATGCCCTGCACCAGCGGCAACAGATCCGCCGGATGCTGCACAATCAAGTTCGTGTAACACTCTCCCGCCTCACACAAAATCCGACAATACCCTCGCACCCTATCCGGATCTTCCTTGTGCTTTTCAATCTCTGGCCGCAGCGCGATAACCCGTGGCAAAACTTGGTACACTTCCGCCATGTTTTCCTGCACCTCTTGCGTTTCGTGGATAAAGTCGCAGATGAGGTCGACGGCGGGGTCGAACAGTTGGTCAGAGGCGAGGGATTCGAAGGCGGCGGAGAAGAGGGAGGTGGAAGCGACTTGGCCGGCGGTGACTTCGCCGGCTTGAAGCCAGGATCCAAGCGCTTCAAACACTGCCGTTTGGATAGGAATCGTAACGCCTAAAATACATCAGTCGGCTTTCCCCAAAAAGCTTTGGGAACGACTCACCTTCCGCATCGATATACATTGCCAGCACCTCCAACACCTTCCCCGCCGAGCCACTAACCAGCCTGCTCAAAATCGTCCTCGCTTCATCATGCCCCAACGGTATCCTCGGATTCGTAGTCTCCTCTGGCAACGTCTTCAAAAACATCAACAACACCGTCACCGTCGCCGGATCACTCCCAAACCGATCAATCATGCTCCCCACCACATTATCCCACTCTGGCATCTGCAGCGCCATATCCGACAGCGCGAGACATAGCTGGAGGAGCACTGCTTTCGAGCCGGAGGGCGTGCCGGGTTGGGAGAGGGGGGAGAGGGTGGCGATGAGAGAGTCGCGGAGCGGGGGGAGCTGTTCGCGGGGCAGTTGGGCGAGGTCGTAGGTGATCTTTGGCCGAAAAGTGAGCACGGCCCACCGACGAGGCAGAACAAGGGAAGACGTACCTTTGCTCTGAGCGTCTGGGCAGAGAAGAGACGGCCCTCTAGAGGGGACTCTGGGGACGTCAAGAGCTCATGACAGGTCTGCCATGCTTCGGACTGGGCAGGGTGAGCTCGGGCGGAGATGGGCGGGGTGTTACGTACGCTGTGCTGGAACTCCTGGAGCCACTCGTTTGCTCTCTTCTTGTTGGCAGTGTCCGGATCGTGGTAGAGGGTTTGGAGCGCAGTGATCACGGGCGCAGAGGACATCGGGGCGGAATATAGTGCGAGGTGTATACAACGGAATCTCAAACTAGACAGCTCGGCTCAGACGGGACCAAATGCTTTTACGCCGCGGGATCAATTCCTCCTTTCTGCCGCCACATCTCATTCTCTCATTCAACTCTCATTCCGCTCTCTTTGCACTGCATCGAGACTGCTGTCCCATTGAGGATCTTCCCGCCATCATCGCGAAGAGACACTCTCCCGGTATCGCATCCCATGGAACAACCTCTGCCGTCGAATGGCGACCCCGCTGCCGCCGCCGCCGCGACAGAGCCTACTGCCGGCTCACCCTCTTCCACCTCTGTAAATGTCGCAGCTATTGGCCATCCCGCCAATCATGAACTTCCCTATCCCCTATCACTAGTCCCATTCGACCTCTCCCACCCCTACCGCCCCAACGATTCCCTAACCATCAAACCCTACCGCTCCTCCAACGTCTGGCTAGACAGATATTGGGCGAGATCCTATCGAGAGGGCGAGATCCGCATTGAACGAGACCTCACCTCCGAACACCTGTATCAACATCTCCGCGAATTGATCGACGACATGTCACGCAGTAGGAAGGATGATTCCGACGAAACAAGGTTTATAGGCGCTTGGGCAAGGCTGCACAAGGATTACGGCTTGTCGGAAAAAGCGTTTGGTGAACTAACTGTTGTGCAGAATACCAAGGTGTACTATGTCGATGAATTGGTGCGTTGTCCTACTTTACGATTTGATGGCACAGTCGCTGATGAAACTTAGCTCCCCTCTTGGGACAGTGAGAAAGACCTCACCGCCACCCAACCCGACCTCGCCCTCCAAACCTCCTCTTACCGTTATAACAAAGGCGTCCGTACAAAAGACAGAAAAACTCTTCACTCTGTCTTCGCTCTCAAAGTGGTTACCCCAGCCACTGCCAGATATCTCCCGGACCCCGCCGAACGACAACGCTTAGACACAGATGCACTGCGGTACACGAATCTCGAAGCGCTCATGAAGGGCATGTACTACCTCACCGTCGCTTACTCCTTGTCCAAGTGCCGCTCGGGGATAGCATGGGCCAAAGAGTACTTTACGCGCATCGTCAACATCACCAGAGGGCCCGGTCCTAGTCCGAGAGGCCAGACAATGCTGCTCGAAGCTTCCCCGAAAGCCGTATCCTTATCCCAAAACCTCCCTTCCGCCACAGAAGGCATGACCCCCTCCGACCTGATGCAGTTCTACGCCCAAAACACCAACAACTGGGAACCGCCCAACGCTCTCATCCAAGACCATATCGAATGGCGGCTCGTCAAAGAAGCTCACATCCGGCTCGATGCTACCATCTTTATGCTCCTCGGTATTTCGGTGCATCCTGCTTCGAGTTCGGAGTTGCCGCTCCTCGGTGAAGGCGGTGGTGCTGGTGCTGGAGGTGACGGGGGGAATGGGAAGAAGGGGACGAAGGGGACGAAGAGAAAAAGAAGAAGCGGAAAGGGCGGGAAGGGCGCCGCGAGGGGTGATGGAGGTTCTTCCAAAGGTACAAGTACGTCTTCCGCTCAAAACCTGGCATCGTCATTAAACCCAACTCAACCCCAGCTTCCCCACCTCCCCTCCGCTCACCCCCGACTTCCAACCCCTCCCCTACCCCTCTCACAACCTCTCCCAGTACCAGTACCCAAAATCCCCACCCCAAGCACGCCGAGCACCCCGAAGACGCCAAACACCCCGAGCACCCCGAAGACGCCAAACACCCCGAGCACCCCGAACACGCCGAGCAAGACTCTCTCGAAGAAGACTTTGACTACGAAGACCCAATAGAACCAGGCTCCCTCCAAGACTTCTCCTCCGCCCTCCAAAAAGCTGCCGTCCGCATCAGACTCATAACGACGGAGGAGATGGATGTCTTGTTGGCGAGAGCTGCGAAATGGGGATGGGCTGAGGCTATCGGCGGGGATGGCAAGTACGAGTACTGAGAGGAGGTGCTCGTTCGTTGTTTTATAACTGTAGACTAGCTGTGAATCTCTAGGACGATGTTTGACACTTGAGGTCAGTGTATATGCACCTGAACCAGTGATCGTACTTGAAATGAGTGGTGTGAAGAAGTCTGTAGCTCTGCAAGCTTGCGGGGCGCATCAACGCAAAGAGGGGTGTCAAAAGTACGCGTCCACAAACCAATTGAGTGCGAGGGCACAGTCCGAAAACGCATGTACGTATCTGATCATAGGCGACATATACTTACTTGCGCTTATCGTAAAGGGGGACAACGCTACCGATTCATCGACATGGTACACCTTGGTATTCTGCACAACAGGCAAATTCACCAAACGCTTTTTTCCGACAAGCCGTAATCCTGGTGCAGCTGAGAATTCCTTTTCGTCTCACTTTTTGCCCACTCTCTTGATCAGAACTGTGCAGAGAGCAAGGCGGGAAGTCTGAGAGCAAAGGGGGCAGTCAAGCTTAGGAAAAGAGAGGGGATAGAAAGTTATGACAGATGGCCCGATCCCAGCAGCTCCCCGGGCCATCTTTGCTTTCATTCTAAAGTACAATTTAGACATCTCATGAAATCAGCATGAATAGCGACGAGCAGTTACCTAGAAGGTACCGGTATAAGCAAGTGTCACAAGCGAAAAGAAGTTCGACCTGGAGTGCATCATTGGTAGTATACAAGAGTCAATGTCAGCAAGAGCCACCATATTGACAATTCCGGTATCGACCAACACACGGCGAAAAACCAAAGCATCTGCACTATTGATCTTTAAGCAAGAGCAGCAACTACAAAGGCGCTTCGCTCGCGCGATGGCCCATAGCCGGTTTGCGTTTATCCCCTCTCTTTTCCTAAGCTTGACTGCCTCCCTTGCTCTCTGCAGAGTTCTGATTAAGGAAAGAGGGGATGATGAGTTGACAAAAAGTGAGGCAAAAACTTATTCTCCATCAGGGAGTTGAACCCTGGTCTACCGCGTGAGAAGCGGTTATACTAACCGTTATACTAATGAAGAGTATAAGACCGTTGTAATAAACGGTTTCAACAGAACATAGCTAGCTGTATTTGGCTAGCGCATGACGCTGCACATATCTTGGCAAGGGGTAGGTAAGTAGTTTTGAGAAGCAGACAGGATCTTTCTTACTCTCCCCCAGCCACCATGCCCAAGGATTTTCCAGCCAACGCATCAATGCCCTTTCAAAGGGCATTTCGCTCGGGTGCCTCAACAGCCGAACCAAACACCAGGGCCCTGGCCGCGCACGACCTCGTTCTCGCTTGATCCGGGCTGTACGGTGGGTGTGTTTGTGTCTGTGCGTTGCTTCGTTACGAACACTAGCGCCGCATATGTCTCATTCTGTGCCTCCAAAGGAAGGCACATCGCCGTGCACTTGCAGACTGCCCATATGCTGGAAAGTGAGCCCGAGTACCGGGTTAGGGTTATAATAGCGCATCTTGGATTGACAATTTGGATTGACATCTTGGATTAATCGTGCTCATACTCGCCCACCATGACCCACATGAGCCCAGCCTCGTACGTCCCCCGCTTCATAGCTGAGCCAAGCTCACCACCGCAGCCTGCTGTTCGCGTCCATGTGCACCACCTGTGTCATGTGCTACTTTCTCTGGCACTCCTGGTCGTCAGTCCTCCCCCTCTTCTTTGCCCAGAAGAGCAGTACTGACAGAAGAGTAGGTTTGACAAGTGGAAGTCTATGCGTCCGACACAGCGACGGGCGTTCAAATGCGGCATCACAGTCAGTCTTTTCCGTCCCGTCACTACGCCGTCTTCTGCCCGAAGGGAGAGGTGTTCTTCGGAGTGTTGCTCTCCTTGTCGTCCAGTCTCCTCAAACTTCCTCCCGATTGATGCAATCGCATCTGCTCTAGAACACCGCTGACGATCCTTCAGTGGGCATACCTCCTAGCAAACGGCTGCTTCCTCACATGGTCCGTCTTTTTAGGGTACATCAAGTACAGTGTGGGGTACCAGTACGTCTCCCCTCACCCTACGCATCTAACAGTCGCTAAGGAAAAAGTAGGACCTTACCAACAACAGGCGAGACCATCCCAACACCCTTCGTCCTCTGGCCGCAACACTACCAAGATGTCACCCCGGCACTGTACTACATCCTCGTCGGCGGGTTTTCCATGATCGTGTAAGTCTCCTCTCTCCCCCTTTCCCTGCTTCCCTGTCTCTCCCTGTCTCCCATACCTGGGCTGACGATCCAAAGCATGATATACGTCGAAGAAATGTGTTTCTGGATCCACCTCTCCTCGTCCATCCGCGGCACCACCACCAAAACCTGGCTCGCCTCTTTTCACTTCAAAGTCTGGCTCGTTCTCACTTTGGGAGTGGTGGGGAGTATGGTAGCTGTCGTTGTGCCGGTTAATTATGATCCGAGTCAGATGGAAGCTGTATGTCCCCTTCCTCTTCTTCCTTCTTCCGTTTTTACCAGGCGTGAACTGACTCTGGCGTAGAGAGCTTTCCTAGTCGGTACAACATACCACACAGTCTTTACCATCGGCTCCCTCTACATCATCATCACATTCCCGAAGCTTATCGAGACGGTCCGACAACAAGGCGGTTCGCAGATGGTTCTCAAACGTCTCGCTTACCACCGAAAGTTGACTTTTTACCGTGTATGTTCTTTCTCTTTTTCTTCTCCCTCCCCCATCCCTTTGACTTTTCGACGTTCGGCATCTTCAGCCGAGGCGATGGGAGCCTGCATACTACATGTAGGAGACAGAGCTGATGAAAGAGTCAGATCGCGGCCAGGCTGGTGTTTTCGGTCCCATTTATCACGGTTGCCGCGGACGGTATGACCCCTCACCACGATATCGCCTCCAACCAGTTCCTCACCGGTACGTCCCCTTCTCTCTCCCCCCCTCCCCCCATTCCTCTCATCCTCCCTCTTCTCCAAAGAGATGTAAAGCTGACAGAAGGTACAGACTTCTTCGTCATGATCGGCCTAGCAGGCTTCATGGTATCCGTAGTAATCTCCGTCTACCTCTTCTTCCCCCCCGAAAACTCCTCCACCAGCCGGCCCCTCCTCCGGGCCCTCCAACCATCATCCTCCACCGACCCCATCAGCGTCACTCTCTCCCCCACATCGCCTACGGGCCCGCGCCCCCATACCAAGGGAGGGGCCTCGACGTTAACGGATGGGACGGGTACTTCCTACCTCGCCTCGCCTTCTTATGCGGGGGATGACGAGGATGTTGAGAAAAATCAGGTGCTTTCTTTTACTGCTGCTGGGGGGAGGTTTGAGAGGCGGTCGAAAGTGGAGAATGAGAAAGACCGTCTAGACTTGGACGACGTGGATGAGCTCGAGTATGAGTATGAGGACGAGTCGAAAGGCGTCGGTATGGGCAAGCTCGACATTCTCCGGGTAGCACCCTTCGCCACACCACCTTCATCCCCTAACGACCCTTCCCTCTTCCCCCCCACAGCTCCCGCATACCGGTCCAAGACCGACTCGACGACGTCCAACCATGCGACTTTCGCGCCTTCTTCTTCGTCTAGACCGGATACTTCTGGGTCTACGACGACGACGAATGGGGGCCGGCCTGGTACGGGCAATAGCGCAAGTACGTCGAGGACGGATGCCCGGGCACATGTGGCCCGCAACGGGCGACTGCACAAACACCTATCCGACCCTTCCATCCTCCTCGCCCCCTTTTCTTCTTCTCCCCGCCGCCCCGGTGACTCTTCCACCCCAGCAACCTCCGCCGAAGTCCGCGCCAAAGTCTCAGCAGCGGTGAAAGAACAAGGCAGCGTCTATGCGTGGAGTATACTGGCAGATCATTTGAGGTTGCCTGATAGTGTTATGCCGAGTGGGGCGGAGATGGTTGAGATGGGGGAGAGAGAGAGGGAGAGGGGGGTGGATGATACTGTTGTAGTTGTTGTAAGTCTGTCAGCCCCGAGGGAAGCAATGTAAACTGAAGAGAGGTTTAGAAGAAACATCGTCATCATCCCCGTCGACCTCGTCCCGCCCCAGCCCCACCATCAAACTCCACGTCCCACACCAACACCACCCTCCCCTCCTCCCACTTCACCCCCTCTCCCAACCCACCCTGCACATCATCCCGCGTCCCATCCCTCCAACCCCCTTCTTCCATCCTCATCGGCGGCAAACTTAGAACGCCAGATGATATGGTCGATCCGAAACCTCCTAAACCTTTCAGCGCTTCTTCCATGGCCAACAGGAGGCTCGACACCCATGTGTTCACTACTTCATACCCACCGTCTTCATCTACGCACTCGCCGACGTCAGCAGATAGTCATGGCTCAGGAGCACCTAGAGGCGGGATCGATGTGTACGAACATTATCTCTCTTCTGCTGCTGCTGCCATCGCGAAAGAACGCGAGCAGGAAGCCGCGGTTGCAGCTGCCGCGCGAGGTCGTTCACCGAGCCCTACCAAAGGCGCGTTTGAGAGGTTCGGTAGTCTTGGGAGTCTGGGTGGGCTGGGGGAGGTGGAGAATCCGTTTATGGAAAGTAGCGAGGATGTTACCGTACGTCCCCCTCTCTCTTCTTTCCGAGTGATGTAGGACTGATAGAGAAAGTAGATGCTGAGATCACTGCCCCCGCCTAGACGAGGTTTCCGAAACAACTCCAACCCTCCCGTCCCCAACCTCGGCAGATCCAACTCTACCGCCGCCGCTAATGCTGGACGATCAGCCGCCGTCAACCAGCCTTCTGCCGTGCCCCCTCCCGACAAGAGCACTACCCCGCCAACAGCGTATCAACGTCAGCTCGACCCTTCGCCCATGCCCTTTTCTCGTACGCTCGACCTTGAGCCCGAGTACGAAGCTCCGGCTGAGGTGAAAGTCGGGAGTGAGGAGGATAGAAGTTTGTCGGACTCGACAGCGAGTTTGAGGGGGACGCCTCAGCAGCACTTGCCAAGCGAGCACGTTGGCCTTGCGGGTGATGTATAAGAGGAGTCGGAGTCTTGGGCGGCGGAATGGCTTGAGACGTGGACGATGGGTCTTGTCTGGCCAGAATGATGGTGGGGAGGGGACCTTGTCAGCCCCGAGGGGAGTTTGAAGATCTTGTAGCTCTTTTTATATATTTTGGTCATCTT